CTGTGGGAAAATTATGCTGGCCAGAGGGTATTAGTGGCGGGAAAAAAGGGACAATCTCAGGATCGAAGGCGAATATTAAGAGCTCATTATGCAGTTTCTCCTTTCACTGTCCATTCACAGGCTGGGGGCTCGCTTGGATGACCTGTGCTCAGAGGAAGTGGGATAAATGATGCTGACCTGGTATCAGCCCCTGCATGCTGATAGGGGAAGAGAGCAGAGTGACAGAAAGATGAGCTCATCACTGTGCTGCTTCTCCTTTCCCTGTCCATTCACAGGTTGGGGGCTCGTCCGGGATGGCCTGTGGGATAAATTATGCTGGCCAGCAGACGGAGGGTATTAGTGGCAGAAAAAAGGGGACAATTTCAGGATCGAAGGTGAATATTAAGAGCTCATCACTATGCAGTTTCTCCTTTCACTGTCCATTCACAGGCTGGGGGCTCGTTTGGATGACCTGTGCTCGTAGGAAGTGGGATAAATGATGCTGACCTGGCATCAGCCCCTGGATTGTAAAAGGAAGAATCAGCACAAGGGGCTATTTAGAGCATGTGCTCACAAGGAGCATGCCAATAGGGGAAGAGAGCAGAGCGAAATGCGACAGGTCCCACAAGACTACGGGGCCATTCACAAAGCGCAGCGCTTGTCACGCATGCGCAGTGGGCACCTGGCTGTGTGTCCACACTAAAAATGTCGGCGCCAGAGAGAAGACGGCCGATGGAAGCTGGACCAAGGAACAGGCAGGACGGAGGAGCGGGTTCTTCATAGTAGAGCCGAGCGGCCAGCTTGGTATTTTAACACGGCGGCGGGAATACCGGGCCGGCCGCTCTGTAAGACGTACATTTCCCCCCATTTGTTGGGGGGGGGGGGGTGCATCTTATGCAGCAAAGAATACGGTACCATATATAGTGAAAACAGAAGCACCGGGTTGTTACCTACAGCCACAAAGGAGTGTGCGCCACCAGTCCATACGCCTCCAGTTCCACTGTGTGATCTCTCGGTGACCTTGCAACTCCAGGAATTGGAGACCCATCAGATGATCAGACCCAAGAATACGGGCCGTGCAACTCACTATGGTATTTCAAAACCTCACCGGCACCACAGTGCGTTGCATGACCCACCCTCTTGGGTCGGATCATCTGGCGAGTCTGTTTGCGAGAGGAGAGATGCAAGGTCACCAAGAGAGCACACGGTGGAACTAGGTGTACGGACTTTGTGAAGCACGCTGAATTGTTTATTATACTTGGACACCATTTGTGAGACCAGGAGGTCCACATTCAGCATCTCACAACACAGGTTCTGGAAAAGCTCTGGGGGTAGCAACTACTCCCCTAGGTCAAGGTGCTGCCAAACTGGGTAGGTCTGCCAATTAGGTACAATGAGGATCTAAAGGGGGAAAATACTGCAATGTGAAGTTCTGCCCAAGATAGAATTCTTTCTGCCTCTCTTGCCACTTCTAGGTCCTTCCTGGTGACTGAAGTGCACTACTAGTGTGACATCAACTGAATCCTGAATGGATGACCCTTTAATTGGAGCAAAGTATTACCAGGGCAACCAAACTGCTGGAAGCTCAGAATGTGTGGATAGGGAGACACGGATTCCTTTAAAGTCCAAATTTTGTCAAACGGTCATATACTGTGGGGAAACTCCAGAGCTGGATTCCTTAGGCTCCATGCTGGGACCAACCTGGTTTTTGATGTCCAGCAAAAATGTCTGCCCAGAGCCCGAGAGAAATTCTCACAACAGGTTGCAGGAGTTTAGATGGAACTGCCTCAAATGAGGCTACCATCAACTCTGCTCATGCAGAAATTGATGACTCCTCGACTAGGAAGCCCAAATCTGGGAGTGGAATGTTTGCCGTTTTCTCCTGAAGACAAACTCTAGCTTAAGCTCGGTCTAGGATGAACCAAACCTTTGCAAGATCTGCACAGTCTATGCCACATTGTCAGCCAGAACCTGTGCCGACTAATCCCACAACAGATCATCCAGGTATCCTACAGGATCCTCTGGGAAGATCGTATCAAGGCGTGTATAGATGCCGGTAGTCTGAGCTCTGTGCTGCACTTGGGGGGTGTTTGGGCACCAGCAGGGTACCGCCTCTTGGGTTTATTTTTACCTTTGGTTGCACCTAGCATCATGCTCTGTAGGTGACGACATCAAATTCATCCATCATGAAGATCTACCGTGTCCAATGAATGGAAATATGGTTATTGATGATGGCACCAAAAAGCCCTAGAAAACAAGGGGCTTCCAGTGGCTCGGCCAATGCAGCCTATTTAAAGTGAGTCTTGAGAGATGGGTCACACCTTGGACTGTGCCAGGACTTTGACCCTGAAGGCATTCTGTAGCAAAAAAGAAAAGCGAACCCAGATCTGGCCAGCAGGGCTCAGGCGTGGCCTCCAAAGCTTCCAGTGGCTCAGCCAACGCAGCCAATTTAAAGTGAGCCTTGAGAGACTGGTCACACCTAGGACTGTGCCAGGACTTTGACCCTGAAGGCATTCTGTAGAAAAAAAAAAAAAAAAAGGAAAAAAGTGAACCCAGATCTGGCCAGCAGGGCTTGGGTATGGCTTCCAAAGCTTGTGCTGAGCTGAGGAGCTTCTGATTCAAACAGCTGAGCTTAGAGACCCACCTCAGCAGCTCGTAGAGGAATTTTTTGTGAAAACAAAGAAAAACCACAACAAAAGAAACATTAAACAGGTCCATGGCCTGTTGGGTTCTGGGAGGCTTGATGTGTATTCGCAGCCACTCACGTTCCAGCCTAGGCTGCCCCCAACCCCATACAATGAATCTCCTGCTACACATGCCATGTCCCTGCACAGGGGGTGAAGAGAGTTGCTGCCATACCTGCTGTGGGCACACAGGAGAACACCGGGCAGGAAGAGGGCCCCAACTGGATCACTGTTACCGTTTGCTTCCCCTAGGATTCCTACCAGGCTTCATTTATGGGGTCTGTAGCCTAAGAACCTAAAGAAAGACTGAGATCAGCCCTGTGCCAGACCACCAATCCCAGAATCCCCAAGCACCAGGCCAGATCAGTTGATCTACAGCAGCCAATCAACTCAGTTGCTTGGCGTTCCTGCGATTAAAATATGCTTAGGTCTATGACACGGAAGATGGAAGGTTGGCGCCCATTTCCGGAGACCAAGGGAGCAAATTGAGCTGCCGCAAATACGAACCAAGCCTTGTTAGCCCATTAAGCACACCCCCCCCACCCCGTGAACAGGCCACTGGGTATTGGATTCTCACGGGAGAGTAGGCCCCTGCTGTGGGCTGCATGTGGGAGGGAACTGGGTTGGCAGCGTTGAGACTCCCTTGTAGGCCATATTGGAGGGCAGGTAACAGCAGGGATGGGTGTGGCCTCCAAAGCTTGTGCTGAGGAGCTGCTGATCCAAACAGCTGAGCTTAGAAGACCCAGCTCAGCGGCTTTTAGAGGACCCACCCGCCAATCCCCGGTCCATGGAGGGGCTCAGCAGCTTGTAGAGGACCCCCCAAACACGCCAACCCCTGGTTCGTGGAGGGGCTCAGCAGCTTACAGAGGACCCCAACAACCCCTGGTTCGTGGAGGTGCTCAGCGGTTTGTAGAGGACCCCCACGCCAACCCACCGGTTCATGGAGGGGCTCAGCAGCTTACAGAGGACAACCCCTTGTTCGTGGAGGGGCTCAGCAGCTTGTAGAGGACCCCCCCACGCCAACCCCGGTTCGTGGAGGTGCTCAGCGGTTTGTAGAGGACCCCCACGCCAACCCCCGGTTTTGTGGAGGGGCTCAGCAGCTTGTAGAGGACCCCCACGCCAACCCCCGGTTCGTGGAAGGGCTCAGCAGCTTGTAGAGGACCCCTACGCCAACCCCTCGTCTGTGGAGGGGCTCGGCAGCTTGTAGAGGACCCCTACGCCAACCCCAGGTTCTTGGAAGGGTTTAGCAGCTTGTAGAGGACCCCCACGCGAACCCCAGGTTCTTGGAAGGGTTTAGCAGCTTGTAGAGGACCCCCACGCGAACCCCGGTTCATGGAGGAGCTCAGCGGCTTGTAGAAGACCCCCACACCAACCCCCAGTTCGTGGAAGGGCTCAGCAGCTTGTAGAGGACCCCCCTGCCAACCCCTGGTTCGTAGAGGGGTTGCCTTCTTCGAGACCATTCGCTGGTGTTAGGGACCACTAGGAAAGGCAAATCAAAGGCTTCTTCTATTACAGGGTGATGCGCCAAGTTTTTTTGTTTGCCCATTCACCATGAAAACTGCATTATGCTGATCCAGTTTACAGCGGCCACCATCCAGATCAGGCAGACACTTCCATGGGCTACACATCACCTCTTTTAGGTACGAAGGTTCCATGGTCGCCCTTACCCATTTGCTTGAACCTTTTCTAAACTTCCGTAATTGGAATTAAGAGCTCTCCGTTCAAAGCTCCAGGGTGGGAAGTGTACCGTCCCTTTAAGACTTACAGATTGGTAAACGGCGCGCGGATTTCCAGAAAGGCAGCCGCACAAATTCAGATTGTAAAGTGTTTAATGATTGTTCAACAGTAATAAACACCGCGGCTACAAAACCTGACAATATTCTACATACTGCCAAAAGACGAGATGCCGATTGTCCACAGCGGTCCCGTCCTGAAAAATGGCCGAGGGCCCATGCACACACCGTGCGCTGCAATGACGAAAACCTGCAACGCCATGCGCCAATAAATGCATCGCCTTTACCGCAATGCATCCTAACATGCGGTCAAATGCAGCAGACCGGTGTGAATGGGTCCCCCCCCGACAGGCCACGTTTGGAATCTGCAGGGCAGTGATAAAAGATCCCTGTCCGCGGAGAGACGGGCGGCGGTGTGTCCGTCGCCGTACATTCAGTCAATAATAAAAAATACTTGAAAGAAAAAAAAAAAACAAAAAAAAAACAGTTCTAAGTATCAAAAAAAGTAAAAGGAACTCTAAAACGAGGTGATGAGCCGGTCGGCTGCCGTTTTGTCTCCGGCAGAGGCTGGTAGGAATTCAGTTCTTTAAATAAAAGCTGGTCGTCAGTCGTTTGTTTCGGGGTCCGCCTGAGCCATGTAGGCGTCCAGCTCGGCGTCCAGGTGGCCTTTCGTCTTGGACATGTAAGCGTCCAGCTGGTTGTCGAGCTGCTCACGGGTCAGTGCTGGCCGTGCGGATCCCCTTCCTCTACCGCGGCCTCGTCCTCGGCTGAACCCTCCTCTGCCCCGAGCGATGACACCGCCGCGGCCTGAGGACAAAAGAGAAGGAGATTCAATTAGGACAATGAAAGTTTAAAAAAAAAAAAAAAAAAAAACCACCACACATACACAACCTGCAGGTTAGCCATCATTTACGGGGTTGCCTTGGCTTCCCACCGGGCTTCAGTTACGGGGGCAGCCTTGGCTACCCACCGGGCTTCAGTTACGGGGGCAGCCTTGGCTACCCACCGGGCTTCAGTTACGGGGGCAGCCTTGGCTACCCACCGGGCTTCAGTTACGGGGGCAGCCTTGGCTACCCACCGGGCTTCAGTTACGGGGGCAGCCTTGGCTACCCACCGGGCTTCAGTTACGGGGGCAGCCTTGGCTACCCACCGGGCTTCAGTTACGGGGGCAGCCTTGGCTACCCACCGGGCTTCCGTTACGGGGGCAGCCTTGGCTACCCACCGGGCTTCCGTTACGGGGGTCGCCTTGGCTTCCCACCGGGCTTCCGTTACGGGGGTCGCCTTGGCTTCCCACCGGGCTTCCGTTACGGGGGTCGCCTTGGCTTCCCACCGGGCTTCCGTTACGGGGGTCGCCTTGGCTTCCCACCGGGCTTCCGTTACGGGGGTCGCCTTGGCTTCCCACCGGGCTTCCGTTACGGGGGTCGCCTTGGCTTCCCACCGGGCTTCCGTTACGGGGGTCGCCTTGGCTTCCCACCGGGCTTCCGTTACGGGGGTCGCCTTGGCTTCCCACCGGGCTTCCGTTACGGGGGTCGCCTTGGCTTCCCACCGGGCTTCCGTTACGGGGGTCGCCTTGGCTTCCCACCGGGCTTCCGTTACGGGGGTCGCCTTGGCTTCCCACCGGGCTTCCGTTACGGGGGTCGCCTTGGCTTCCCACCGGGCTTCCGTTACGGGGGTCGCCTTGGCTTCCCACCGGGCTTCCGTTACGGGGGTCGCCTTGGCTTCCCACCGGGCTTCCGTTACGGGGGTCGCCTTGGCTTCCCACCGGGCTTCCGTTACGGAGTCCCTCGGATTCTTAACACTCATGACATGTCTCCTCCCAAAACTGGTGAATCCGAAACATGCAAAGACAAGGATCTGCTGCCGCTCAACATGGACATATTACACCCCCGACTTTCTACTATTCTACCTTTACAACTGACCAATGACAAGACAGTTGGGCGGAGCCAGACTGGGAGCCAAAGCCAATATTTGCCTACAAGAGCCATTTGGGCTCCTGAGAAGCATTATGAAGTAGGTAAGCATATATTTGGGCTCCTGCCTTACACAACCGGCTGACACTGAACCATGTGCTGCCAGTTTTCCTGGGGAAACTACAAATCCCATCATGCCTCTGGGAGTCATGCTTGTAGTAGTTTAGAGTCTTGAAATGCGCAAGGGAGGAAAACTATTTGCCAAACCCCCTGGCTTTTGCTACTGTCCCATCACAGCGATGGTTGGGTTCAGTGACCAATAGTGTGGCTCCTAGAGCAGAATATGGGCGGTCTGGGATGCCATGTAGACACAGGCATAGAAATATGGAGCAGCAAAGACTAGATGTACCCTTTAATGCCAAATCTGTACCATGCTACCCCCCTAGCAGTGTGATGAAGGAATGGGAGTACCAACCTCTTCCTCCTGCACCACCACGGTTCATGACTCCGCCTCTGAGTCCCCCTCTTCCAGCCATGCCACGTCCTCGCAGCCCACCTCTCCTCATTCCAATTCTTGGAGGACCGCCACGGCCTCGGAGGTTTTGCCCTGCACAGAAAGAGTCAGCGGTCAGCCATTGAAAAAACAAAAGCTCTTTATTAGGGTTTATTATTGGCCAAGCCAACCGACCTCTCATGCTCATCGCTCCCCTTGGCATTCCTCTACCTCCCCGGCCAGCCCGCATCATGCCTCGCTGGGAGCCCCGCATTCCCATACCACCGCCTCGCATTCCGCCGGCACCTCGCTGAAGGCCCCCCACCGGTCTCCCCAAACGGGCCTGGATGTTGCTCTTGCCGAGCCGCTGCTTCAAGCTCTGTCAGGACAGGGAGGAAAGAATGAAAATTAATGGATGTCCGTGCGTTTAAGGGGGCGGAGCCAATAAGCATCTGGCAGGATATAAAAAAAAAAAAAAAAGTTAATGCAAGCAAAGTCAATGTCTTGAGGCTACCTTGATGAACTTGGCTCAGCAGACTAGGTGCTCCAAGCAAGGTCCACCTCCCTAAACACCGCAATAAAATGCAAAAAAAGAACCCGTGGAGGGAAAAATAACCGGCATTTTCATCTTGCATGTGGGAAGGGGGTGGGGCAATCCTGTAGACAAGATACCTGGGCATGCAAGTAGCAAGACGAACCTAACTGTGCTACAACGCCCTCTTGGGCTACCTAACATTCCCAAGATCCAGATGGAGGAGGACCTCACCACCTAGTTGCGATCTGATGGTGGGTTGGACCATACTTCCATGTTACACCCCAAACATAGGCGTGGCATGAAAGGTTGTAAACATGTGAGCTTCATTTAGGTAAAGCTCCGAGTCCCTGGAACCGTCTTTAGGCATTGGTCACATCGGTGCCTGCCATGACATGTCAACCAACCTTCCATTACAGCACAGACCATGTGACCAACACCTCGGCACTTGTGACAGAACTGGTTCTGGAGTCGTCCGGAGAATGGAGTAGCACTTTCCACAGTGTTCGCATGGGAAGATTTTTTTTTTTCTGTACATCTACAGCTCTGATGTAAGCAATGCAGGACTCCGGCCCCAGAGCGGTGGTTGCGTCTCCGGCCTCCTCTTCTCCAGGCCATTCACAAGGCAGCCCCAGGATTAGGATGGCCTTCGAGGACTTTCTGATCATCCGGCAGGCCAAACGAGGTGGAAGGAGAAATCCTCCACGCTGTGCCAGAGAAATTTTCTTTACAGGCTCCATCAACTTCTGTTGAGCAGGAGAGGCCACACGTGGATCCATCAATGGTCAGGCTTTGGTCATGTGAACGGCCAAGTAGAGCGGGAGGTAGAGACAACTCTAGGGATGGGGCCTGGGAACTGCAGCCAGTAAATATGGCAGGATCTACAGTATATGGGAACAGCCACGTCCTACTGGCAGAATGCATGTATTTTTGGGGTGGGCCCTAAGCTGGCAATAGACTCCTCCCAGTTTCAGCAGATATCTGGTGACCTCAAGTCTCCAGGTAGGCCTCCTTGTCTTCAATGCCATATGTACAGTGAGGCAAAAAAGTATTTAGTCCGCCACCAATTGTGCAAGTTCTCCCACTTACAGAGATGAGAGAGGCCTGTAATTGGCATCATAGGGAGACCTCAACTATGAGAGACAAAATGAAAAAAACAAATCCAGACAATCTCATTGGCTGATCTGGAAAGAATTTATTTGCAAATTATGGTGGAAAATAAGTATTTGGTGAATATGAAAAGTTGATGTCAATACTTTGTTATATATCCTTTGTTGGCAATGACAGAGGTCAGACGTTTCCTGGAAGTCCTCACAAGGTTGGCACACACTGTTGCTGGTATGTTGGCCCATCCTCCATGCAGATCTCCTCTAGAGCAGTGATGTTTTGGGGCTGTCGCTGGGCGACACGGACTTTCAACTCCCTCCAAAGGTTCAAAAACAGACAACACAAAAACAAACAATTTCTATGGGGTTGAGATCTGGAGACTGGCTAGGCCACTCCAGGACCTTGAAATGCTTCTTACGAAGCCACTCCTTCGTTGCCCGGGCGGTATGTTTGGGATCATTGTCATGTTGGAAGACCCAGCCACGTTTCATCTTCAATGCCCTTGCTGATGGAAGGAGGTTTGCACTCAAAATCTCACGATACATGGCCCCATTCATTCTGTCCTGTACATGGATCAGTCGTTCTGGTCCATTTGTGGAGAAACAGCCCCAAAGCATGATGTTGCCACCCCCATGCTTCACAGTAGGTATGGTGTTCTTTGGATGCAACTCAGCATTCTCTCTCCTCCAAACACGACGAGTTGTGTTTCTACCAAACAGTTCTATTTTGGTTTCATCTGATCATATGACATTCTCCCAATCCTCTTCTGGATTATCCAAATGCTCTCTAGCAAACTTCAGACGGGCCCTGGACATGTACTGGCTTAAGCAGGGGGACACGTCTGGCACTGGCACTGCAGGATCTGAGTCCCTGGCGGTGTAGTGTGTTACTGATGGTAGCCTTTGTTACGTTGGTCCCAGCTCTCTGCAGGTCATTCACTAGGTCCCCCCCGTGTGGTCCTGGGATTTTTGCTCACCGTTCTTGTGATCATTTTGACCCCACGGGGTGAGATCTTGCGTGGAGCCCCAGATGGAGGGAGATTATCAGTGGTCTTGTATGTCTTCCATTTTCTAATTATTGCTCCCACAGTTGATTTGTTCACACCAAGCTGCTTGCCTATTGTAGATTCAGTCTTCCCAGCCTGGTGCAGGTCTACAGTTTTGTTTCTGGTGTCCTTCGACAGCTCTTTGGTCTTCACCATAGTGGAGTTTGGAGTGTGACTGTTTGAGGTTGTGGACGGGTGTCTTTTATACTGATAACAAGTTCAAACAGGTGCCATTGATACAGGTAATGAGTGCAGGACAGAGGAGCCTCTTAAAGAAGAAGGTCCAGGTCTGTGAGAGCCAGAAATCTTGCTTGTTTGTAGGAGACCAAATACTTATTTTCCACCATAATTTGCAAATAAATTCTTTCCAGATCAGCCAATGTGATTGTCTGGATTTGTTTTCTCATTTTGTCTCTCATAGTTGAGGTCTCCCTATGATGCCAATTACAGGCCTCTCTCATCTCTGTAAGTGGGAGAACTTGCACCATTGGTGGTGACTAAATACTTTTTTGCCCCACTGTATAGTAGGTTATATGGAAAGAACAGAATTATTCAAGTATGTTTCTTCAATTCTATGACACCCTGACACCGCTTCCATCCACCTGAAGGCATACATCATGGAGGACTTTTATGTAAGCTACAAAACAGATCAGACAGGTTCTCGTTGCTGCCAAGCAGATTTGAACGTTGGAGGACTTTGTCTCGCTGCTGGGATTCAGTGGGAACCATTGTCCAGTTCAGACGTTGAGGTGGCCTGGACTTTCCAGCAGGTCATCAGATGGCACGGTCCTCGATTTCTAAGAGCAGATCTCCCCCACTTCCAGATCTGCTCTTAGAAATCGAGGACCATGCCATCTGATGACCTGCTGGAAAGTCCAGGCCACCTCAAGTGGGAACCATTGTCCAGTTCAGACGTTGAGGTGGCCTGGACTTTCCAGCAGGTCATCAGATGGCATGGTCCTCTATTTCTAAGAGCAGATCTGGAAGTGGGGGAGATCGGACGATGGCCCAGAGAAGGGTGGCGTCTGAGGAAAGGTCACCCCCTTTGGTTTAGCGTAAGAATTTTGAACACTTTAGGCTTGGTTCACATCTACAGATGTGGATGAATTTCCATGCGTCACGTGTAGGACAGTCCATTTATTTCCAAAGGCTGCCCTACATATGGGAAATGTGGAAGAGGGTTCCTTGACACTTTTTCGAACACTCCGAGGCACCATGTGTTTTTGGCGCATGTATATGTGGAGGGGGGGCACAGCCACGTGTCTGCTAAAGGGCAACGCGTTTCTGCGCATGTCACAAATGTCAACCTAGCCTGAGACCACGCCACCCCACTGTTGCCCTCTACAGAGGTCTACTTGCCTCAGGTGTTTGCAGCGTTGGAGGTCTTCACTGTCCTGGCCGCACATGGATTGCAGAGATGATCTCATAGAAGTCTACGGGGTTCTAATATGTAGGTGTGGCCAGGACAGTGAAGACTTGCGCCCCTTGGATGTAAAACTGCAGAAATGTAGCCATCAGATGGAGTTTGGGTTAGGTCAGGGGATGTGGGGGCAGGACAGACAAAAGCACTTATTCTTCAGTTGGGCGAAATCTATAAATACCCCAAACAGCCAGAATCCAAATCACCTCCATGGAGAACCTGCAGAAGAAAACAGTCAAGACCTTCAAAGCATCGACTTGTCAAATACCCCGCCAGCTTTCTCATCTCCCCCAAGACGGATGTAAAGGCGCAGTCCACCGTTAAAACCACGATTCATCCACATTTAGGAAGCAACATGAAGAATGGTCACAGCAAACCCAACAACTCCTCCCCACCACCACCACCCCCAAGTTGCTGAGAGCTTCGTACGGGAGAATCCTGCTTTTTGTGCAGGAGCTCATCATCCAATGTTCCCTACAGTCCCACCATGGTAGGAGGACTCGGCACAGCAAATGAAGCTCAGCCATGCTTCCTCCAGCACCGTACCAGAAGGCGCAGACCAGGGATCAGAGGGGTGAGGCACTGCATTACTCTGGGCACTGCATCTGCTATCACGGAGCAAGGCCTGCAGGCTTCTAGGCAAAAAAGTAGTCAATGCACACTGTAGATGCATCTACTCCGGTTCTGGTGAAAAGGTGGACTGCGCCTTCAAAATACTCAACACTGCCAGAGGACTAGTTCTGATTTTTCCACCACAAATTATTAATAGTGTAAGCTCCTCTGGTAGAGACTGGCGATGGGACTGTGGGGCGAGGGACGCATTTTACAGTGTAAGTACCTCCTCTGGTAGAGATGATGAAACTGTGGGGGAGGGGACAGAGTTCCACATGTTAAGCGGGCGTATGATATAGCTCCCTGGTAGAGGACTTGATGGGACTTGTGGGGGAGGGGACATTACAGTGTAAGCTCCTCTGAAACAGAGGCCAATAGGACTGTGGGGAGGGGATTAGCAGTAAGCTCCTCTGGGTAGAGGTACCTGGGGGGAATGGGGACTTTAGAGGGATTCAGAGGAGTAAGCTGTGGGGGTCCTCTGGTTCATGCCGGGGAGTTAGGCGCACTGAGAGATCTGATTGTGGAATGGGGGGTGGGGGAAATGAGTGTGCGGGGGGTATGCTCCTCTGGTTCAGAGTCTGGGATGTTATGTTTTGGTTGATGGGTGGGGTGCGACTAGGAAAATTGGGTGGGTCGTACAGATATGAGAGTGTGTTTGCTAAGCTCGTGGAGGGGCAAAT